GGCAAGAAGACCTTCTTGATTTTATATCTATCCCTTTTCCTCTTTCCCACCCCCATCCTTCCAAATCACGTTTCCTAAAAGTTGAGAAATGCTAGCCTGATGAATTTATTTTTACATATTCTAAGCCAGGAAAAAGAAAAGAATCTGGATTATTGACATTCTTTTACCGGAACTACAGTAGACTAGAGTTAGCAGAAAAAACTGCTAATCATCACAGTTTTCGTGTTGGAAGCAATTTGCCTATAATTAGTAAGTTGATAAATACCAACAAAATGGGTGCTAAAACGAACAACTCTTGTGCTGAGAGACATTTGACTCTACATTACACTTTGCATTTTTATATATGCAGCATTACATTTTGTTACAAAGAGCGACAACTCTAGTGGCAGCTGAAGCACTCTAATCTGTCTTCTGAAGAAAAGCAGACATACATCTTAATATAACAACTGCTTTTATAAAGCATATCTGTTTTTTCAAGGAGTAAGCAATGCAAGGATAAGAAAAGAAGTTTTTTAAAATTTATTTTATATAAAACAGCAGCAGAAGATGGAAGACTTGTTTTGCTACATAATAAAATGCCACAGCATGTAAGATTAAATGACACCAGTGTCTTTGGATATATTCTTCATTGGTAATACCAAATTCACACTTGTTTGTATATGTTTGCATTCTACATTTCATATAAAATGGTTGTTCTGCTAAATGTTTTATCGCCATGTAAAATCAAACCCATGGCCTTTTTTGTTCAAATCAAATAAGGAAATGAGAATGATGTCTCACTGAAAAGTGAGACAAATGTTTAATTCAAATAAAGATGATATGAAATACTTTATCTTTGAAATCAAACATGTCTATAAGTTTGGAACGTTCAATACTAGCTTAAAGGTCTAAATCATAAAAGGTGCATTATACATAATAAGCAAAGGAATATAATGGATTTTTTTCAGTGGGATGCTGGGATTCTGGCTCTTTTATACTTACCATGATACCACAGTAAATTATGATCTGAAAGAACAAGAGGTTGTCCCAAGAAAGAAGTAATGAGAGCATAAATAATGAAATATCTGTGTGAATGTGCTTGGGAAAATATTACATTTGCGTAATGCTTTTAGACTGGTGTTTATAGGCATAATTTGAGGGGCATTCTTTTCTACAGCCACTTTACAGGTAACATATGTAAATCAGAGAACTTTCAGTGTCTTCATACTACAGATCATGTGGGATACAGATTGGCTTGTTATCAAATATTATCTAGTATAATTGAAATATACTCTAACATATTTGAATATTATTTTTTCTCTTTCCCTTTAGAAAGTACACATTTGTACTCCCAAGTACTGAATATAACAATAAGAAATGGTCACAGGCAAAGTAAATGAAAGTTTTTCTTCCTCTTTTCAGAACATTTTATAGTGGGTGGTAGAATATTTAAGCCATTTCAAAGTCATGTAAAATATTCCAAATATGTCAGGGGTAGAAGAAGAGTCTGTGGTTCATTATTTTTCTACAATAAATCAACATAAAAGAGAACACTTAAAAAGACCAAATGGTTTGTTTTCATTTATAGCTCATATCAATAAATTTATACTATGAGCATTTTGTTTATTTAAGATATAGTATATATTTGATCAGTAGTAGATCAATTTGTGTGTATGTATGGGTTACTGTGAATTGAACCCAGGAGTATTATAACTCTGAGCTACATTTTAGCTCTTTATATTTTATTTTGAGACAGATTCTTGCTAACTTGCTCTTTCCCAGGATGGCCTCTAACTTGTGATCCTTCTGAGTAGCTGCGATTAAAGATATGTACTACTGTGCCTGGCTTAAATTGATTATTATGAAATAAAACAGAAATCCTGAGGAAGTATCTGCTGTGATTATTTGTGAGGTCTAAGTCCCATCATTATCATCATCATCATCATCATCATCATCATCATATTATTATTATTATTATTATTATTATTATTATTATTATTATTATTATTCATCCTGGTTAAAACTTTGGCTTTAGTTGATTGGGCCTATGTGCTTTTAATGAGATTTATTATAAAACAGGATTAAAACTTCTTTCACACAAGTAAATTTTTTCATGACATAGTATTTTATCAATAAACCAAGGCAAATATTTTAATCTTAAATTGAATTTTTAACCCCTTTGAAAAGCCTCTTCTCTTACCTATTTTCCAAGATCAAGAATAATACAATTGTAGAGAATCTGACATTAGAATGAAGCTATGCAACTTGGTCAATTTTGCTGCCATTATATTTTTTGCCAATATTATTTAATTTAGTGTAGGTGCTTTTTTTTAAGTATATGACTCCATTTTTAAGAGATAATAATATTTTACAAGTACTATATAACCTGTCTCCATGGAATATTTCTTTCTAAAATAAAGTTGAATAAAGTGAGCTGCAAGAGCCTTTTGTGTGCTTGGTTTATTTCCCCCCACCCCGCCCTTTTTTTTTTTTTTTTTGCCATTCAAAAACAATGCTGACACATGCATGAAATGACAAATAGCATTAGCGTAATAAAGAAGTTAAACCAAACCCAAAGCACAGCCATATATTAAATTGTTTTAAAATATACTGACCTAAGCACCTCTGTAAGATATTATAAGTAAAATTTGAAGAAGGAAAAAGGTATGTGGTAGTGAGATGAGCTGTCCTTTGTATCTTATATAATTGCTGATTTGCTATCATGTTTGCTTAAATTCCTTTTTCAGATACTATTTTCATGTCTCTTTGTCAAAGGAGAGGTTTGAAGCCTTTTTTTTTCCTCCATCTGGGTAACTGATGTGAGCTCAGACCAAGCCTCTCAGGGCTACAGCAATGTGTCCAAGAAGCTTTTGGTAAAAAGCCTTTTAAACAGCCCCTCATTTCCACTCAGCAGATCAACACACATGTTTTACCGAAAGAAAACTTCTAACATTTCAACATAAGCTTCAAACACCAGAACAGTAACTTAGGGACTATGTTTCATTAAGACCTAGTGTTGACTAACTCTTGCCCACTCCCATACAGAATGAAATCTAGTACAATTGTTGTGTCATCTTCTTTGATAAGTGGTTATTTTCTAGAATTTGATGATTTATAAGGCTTTTATAAAAATGGTCAATATTTCTGAAGCAGATGTTTTTGAACACACAGTAAGTCTGTACAAAGTAATATGGAGTCAAAAGAAGTATTTTTCATTTTTTTACTTCTTCCAAAGAAGTTAAAAGTGTACGGTATAGCTTTTCATATCAGCAACCACAAATAGGAAAAGAAATAATTGTAAAACATACAATAATGGAACCATTTTCTGCACAGATCCAACTATGTGGATCAATTAGCCCCACAGTTACTTTTAATGAGGGTTGTTGTGGAATAAGTGGAAACATCTGTTACCCATGAACCACCACAGTGGCTACACAAGAAAAAGCAGTTCTCTCTTCTATTGATCGGGACTGGTCTTTATGGAATATTCTTATTAGTATGCTTAGAACAACCATGCAAATCTCTAAGCAAAATTAATTATTCTTGGCAGGCCCAAGAGACAATCCTATAGCCATTTTTTACCAAAGGCTAGAAGCAGGGGAACCCTTTCTATGTATATATTTTATTATGGTTAGTGATGCCTAATTGTCCTACTGTATGTTGCCCTATTTTACCAGCTACAGTCTGAATTCATTCCCATCCTTTCCTTAAAAGTTTGAAACCCCCTAGTGACAGGAATATTAATGTGCCAACACTGTCATATCTATTTCAGCTCATACATATGCAATGTCTTTGTTTTCAAAGATTTATGTCAGACTTTGCTGAAGTGAGGTATTCTACCATTTTAGATAATAGCATGCCAAAGCGATGTTATCAGCCACATTCAGCACTCACTCAGGCAAACGGGAGGAGCATCCATTCCTTCATGGCTTCAACTCATAGAAACTGTTATTTATCCTTATTTGATGAGAAAATCTTTCAGGGGGAAATGGTGTATTTTTAGAAGAAGATTATGGCCATCCTGTGGATTATCTTTTAATTAAGAATGGATGATTTGTGCCCACTCTGCTGTAGCAAACGTCTTGCTGCTAATGAAGTTTAAAAAGACTTACTTTATTTAATTACAGCTAATCACCAGGGTAAAATGTGGAATTTTCTTTGATCCTACATGTATTGTGGTAATCCCTGTGGATGATAGCATCTCCTCAAAATGCTTTGAGTTTTTCAGCCGGTCACCTCTTGGCCAAAGTTAGAATCACCTTATGCCAAAGAATGTTTTCATTCCTTCTATAGTTGCCTACCCTAGCATAAAAATTACATGAAATTTTATTTAAAAGCTAAGATGGCCCTTTTTACAGAAAGTGTTGAAATATTGAAATATTTTAATCTTTTTCTTTGTCCAATACCCAGAACTGAGTTCTTTGTTCTGGTTCAGTGGTTCAGTTCACCTGACATTACTGGACAAGCTTGGTGTCCGGCACTCTTCTAGGAAGAGAAATATAGAAAGATCACATTGAGCTCATAGTACACCAACCTTTAAAGATGGATCATGTTTGCTTTCTGCTGTATTAAATCTCTGTGAATAGAAATAGGTAAATATGCTGCAAAACCAAGAATTTTTCTTGTCTTAGATTTAGTTTGTTTTTAAATCACCAGATTATAATTACTTTGTGAGATAAAAGAGGTCTTTCTTTTACATTTTGTCTCATGTCTCATTTTGCAACATGAAAACACCCACTTTCTAGCCTAATTCTTTCCTGAATCTTACAGAAAATTATCTTGAGAATGCATGTTAAGACCATCTTTATTCTAGGTGATATCTATGATTTTTCATCTTTATAAACAGCAACCTTAATAATTTCCACTAGAAAATAGAGTGTAATTCTTTGTATGCTTTCTCATATCTACTCTTCCAAACATAAATTACATTTTTTTCTGAAGTAAAAGCCAATCCCAAATTAATTAGTGTGATTTATGTTTTTAATCTCAAAGAGGCCATCCTATTCTTTCAAAAAAATTACCTTCTTTCTCTTTACTCTGCTTTGGTTCTGCAATTCTCAGTCCATGTGATCCTGCTGATGTTGACTGGTTGGCAGAAAGGCCCCAAGGTCAAGGTCCTGCTGGACTTCTCACCTCCTAGAGAATAGAAACTACCATGGGAACCAGAGGGGGCTGATGGCAGCTGAGGCCTGTGTTGGGCAGAAGAGGGCGCCAGCGAGCTGACCTTGTCCACCCCAACAGCTGACACCCATTTAGAGATGGTACCAAACCTGCATTTGAACAGAATAGATGCGATGAGTATTTGGGGGAGATAAATTTTCCTGGCAAATGAGTATGTCTAAACTAATTAATCACAGCAAATGAAATATATGGTTTTGTACATCTTTTCGTGGTTTTGTATCAGGTAGATTTCAAGATTACAAAACCCAGGTGTCCCCCCAAAACAATTCTCACCCAGGAGGGGAAGTCATGAAAGATAAATTATTCCTTTTGAAACTTTATAAATGATCCACTAAGTTGGTACTTTATCTATAACTTTAACAAAATCATTGAGGTAAAACTATTTGCTTCACATGCCCAAATCTGTTATAAATTATTTAATAAACTTGAGTTTCTATGAATTCTTTTGGTTTGCCAAGACTTAAGCAGATTTAAAATAGGGTTGTTGTCAGATCAGTGCATGAGTCTTTATTCTCACACTTAGTATTCCACTATCACACAATAATTTCTTTCCCACCACCTGCATATCAATGCTTAAGAACATCCCTTCTAGATATATCTCACAGTGCCACACCCATGTAGAATTTTAGGGCCCTTTTCCCCATAATTCCCTAAGTCCTGGTAGTGAACACTTAGACTTTCAAATGGATGGAGGTTGGAGGAAGTTCTTCTAAAGTACAATTCACGTGTCTTTTTTTTTTTAAATAATATTTTAAAGAAGGAGAAGCAAAACAAAATTTGTGGTTAGTTCTTGTAATATGTTAAACATCTGCAGTTTTGTCTCTCCATTGGGATGTGGGGTTGTGCTGAAGTCACATCCTGATAACATCTGCACATTACTGATAGCTTTTGCTTTATTCTTTATGGTCTGCTGATGAGAGATTCTTTAACATCCCTTCAGTCATCAAGACCCCAGTTGGATTTCTTTGCTTGTGACAGCCTTAAAGGTGGTTTCATTTACACTTGCTAAAATGTCACAATATAGGAAGATATTTTCAGTTTGATGTTTCATCCCTTCCTTTTTTTATCCGGATGCTAGTTTTAGCTTTTCAAATGAATGTCGAACTCAAAATAGATTTTCCATGAAATATATTTTGTCTGATTCTTGAAACACCATGTCTGCAGCAGAATACTTTTTTTTTTTTTCCAAAAAAGTTTTCAACAGGGAATGGCACCTCTGCTCCTGCTTGCATTTCAACAACAGCTACAATGCCATGAAACAGCTAGCTTGTTCAACATCCAGTAACATAGAATGTTTCTACTATTTTAAAGGTCAGATATTGACAGATCTGAGCTGCAGTTGCTTCCCTAATGACTCCAATTACATCAGATCTGAGCAAATAGTCAATAAAGAGGGGCATTAACATATATAGAAAAAATGTTTATTTTGTATTTCAAAGACCATTGGCAGTCCCTTCTATTTCAGGAAGATTTTGAGAGGGTAGGGCTTTTAAAAATTGGGACCATAAAAAGTAGTATAGGAAAATGATGTATACTCCTAGGCTTTCTGAATGGATTATTTTTATTGCTGAATATATCTTTCTTGATGTAGCCAGGCAGTGGTCAATGTCAATGCATAAGACAACTTTAAAGAGTACTAAAAAGAGTAAATTTCAAAAAGATTAATTGTTTTTTAGGGTTCCTTTTCTTGACCAATTTAGTGAAGATTTTTCTTTATTGCCCTAGAATTCATAATGTTAAATAAAATATTTCATTGAAATTCTTTTTAGAAGTTGAGGTTATAAAACATTTTTCACTTCAAAATATTTGGGAATATTTTTTATATTGCACAGATTTCTCATGTAATGGTTAGAAAATATACTTGGTAAGATTTCTTTCTTTTTTTTTTAACTTGTTGAGACATGGATTACTCTATCTTATTGCTCATATTAGTAAACATACCTTGTATACTTGAAACAAATGTGTATTCTGCAATGTTGGGGAAAATGTTCTATAAATATTATTTAGGCCAAATTGATAGCTGTATTAGACAGCTTTTTTGCCGCTACAGCAAAGGATCTGACGGGAACAACTGTCAAGGAGAAAAGATTTATTTGAAGGCTCACAGTTTCAGAGGTCTTAGTCCATAGAAGGTAGGCTCCATTCCACGGGCTCGAAGTGAGTCAGAACATCATGGCAGAAGAGTTTGGCAGAGGAAAGCATCTCACTTGGTGATCAGGAAGAAGAGTGAGGGAGTTCTACTGTCTGGATACAAAATAAATACCCCAAAGACAGGTTTCCAAGTCCCACCTCCCGCTACCACTTCAGTTACCACTCAGCTAATCCCTCAGGGGATTAATGCACTGATTGGGTTAAGACTCTTATAACCCAATCATTTCTCCTCTGAACCTTCTTGCATTGTCTCACATGTGAGCTTTAGGGGGACACCTCATATACAAACCATAATAATAGCACTGTTCAAATTTTCTATATCTTTATTGATTTTTTAAAATGTAGACGTTCTATTCACTACTGAGAGTGGAGATTCTTAATGTTCAACCATGTTTATGGATTTAAAGATATCTTTTTGCCTCTTATATTTTGAACCTCTTTTAGTAGGCATACACATATTTAAGACCTATCTTCCTATGAATTGATCTTTTACCATTATAAAATGTTCTACATATTTCTGGGTATACTCCTTGTCTTAAGCTCTATTTATCTGATGTTAATGTAACCACACTAACTAGGAAACAGAGAGGTATCTGTTTGATGTTTTAGTGCTGGCTACATTTGTCAAACATTTAAGTAAGAGTACATCAGCTTACCTGTCACCTTGCATTCCCATAAATGTCAATGACAGGGAGAGCTTGATTTTTTCTCATGGGTAAGCCATACTCTCGGAGACAGGAACAACTAGAGAAGGAGAAATTAAACTAAGTGAAAAGGAAAAAAAATGAATTAAGGATGTGACATAAAATAAATCAGAACATAATCTCCATTACTTAGAAAATCCATGTCTGTGATTTATATAAGTGTTTTATGTAAGTATTTTAATATATACTGAAATGTTAAACTCAATTCTGAGTTATGGTAGATTGAGTAATTCTCCCCAAAATTCATGTCAACCCAGAACCTAAGCATGTGACATTATTTAGAAATGAAAATTTTGAAAGTATAATTAAGTTAAATTTAAGTCATACTGTATTAGTGTAAGCCCTAAACCCAGTGATTTGTGTCCTCATAGAAAGAAGATAGACACATTGAGAAGCACAAAGAAAAGTAGGTCATAAGAGCAAGAAAGCAGAGATTGAGGTGACTCAGCTACAAGACAAGGAGTGTCAAGGAATACTGGGAGCCACACGGAAGATAAGAGCAAGGTCAGGAAAAATTCTTCCCTCAAGCATTTAGAGGAAGCATGGCCTTGCCAACACTTTGGTTTTTGGACATCTACCCTCTAAAACTGAGCAAAAAATAAAGGTTTATTATTTTAAGTTAACCAGTTTACCATAATTTGTTATATGGACTCTCTGAAAACTATTAATTTTCTCAATTAAGATTCTTTGGTATTGGTCAGGTTGTGCTACTATAACAAAGTGCCATAAATTGGTTGGCTCAAAACATGAATTTATTTCTTATAGGAGCTAGAAAAGCCAATATCAAGGTACAAGCCAATTTGTTTCCCTGATGAGGGCTTTGTTGCTGGCTTGCAGACTGCAGACTTCTCACTGTGTCCTCATGTGGAAAAGAGAGAGAGCTCCAATCTCTTTCCTCTTCTTATAAGGGCACTAATTCCAAAATTGTGGTCATGCCCTGTTGTTCTCATCTAAACCTAATTACCTTCCAAAGGAGTTAGGGCTTCAACATATAAATTTTGGAGAAGTAATTCAATTAACAACAACTATCAACAAAATTCTGTTAAGAAAAGGTTCAGAGTTTATCGAGAAAAAAAAGAAAGTTCCACATGTCACGTGAACCTGTTTAGGTGAGGATCAGGCTCTTCAGACCTGCCACGATATGTGCTTTCTATCTAGGACAAACTTACCTGGAAGCCCAGTGTCTATTTTCCCACAACTGAAGGTTAAAAGGGTTTATATTAAGTACACTTTTATTTATTTGCAGAAGATAAGGAATGAGCAAGCTTTGAACAAAGTTCAGATAGAGATAAATGATAGATATACGAAGATACAGGTAGAGGCAGAGAAAGAGACAGAGATCTCTACTCAATGTTTTTGTATTATATAATTAAAAATATAATAGCATTTGATTTTACCCCATCTCATTACATTACCCTCTTCTTGGCTTTGAACTTATACAGAGAGATATCTTTATGGAATTTTACTTAAAAGTACTATGATATGATGTGTTCATACTCTTACAGTTTGGCCAGTGAAAGATCTCACTTTACATATTGGGTGACTCTGATAAATCTAAAGGAAGGTATAAAATTATACTATTAATAGAAATACTAATAAAATGCAAATCAGTTCCAGAGATTTTCATGTTCTTTAGGGAAATTCTCTTGGAGGTGAAACCTTGATATGTGAAACACGAGTTCTCAGATCTCAGAAGGGACCACCATTCTAGAAAATTCTGATTCCTCATAGGTATTTGAGAGATATAGCAGATTTCCAGATATAATTTTTTATGTCAATTCTTAATCATATCTAGAATGAACTGGAAGACAAGAGTTGCCTCATTAATGCTACAGTCTGTCGATTCCTGATAAGCAGCATTATATAACCTCCTGAACCAAGAGAAAGCTTTCCCAGTCAATGGCCAAGCTTCCTTTCAAATGAACACTGTGCTACAACACTCATACAATGGGGCACACACAACAGTTCTGTCTGTCTTAGGTATGCCATCCACATATGTTTTACCTTGTAAGCATTGAATTGATTTCTTGATTTTTCTATTATGTAAATAGTTGAGCTGTTGTAACACCAGAAGTTGCAAACTGCCATGACTTGATTTTGAGGTATTTGGCATGCATATTTTCTTAAGGACTCTTCCACTCTCAGAATCTACATCCTACATTCACAATTCTGCCAAGACAGTCTAAAAGTAACTGTCTAGAGTTTGGAGGTTAGTGGTTTTGGAAAAAAAAAAAACAGCTAAAGGTATTATGAAAGATAAATTACCTGTTCACTCTTGATTCTGTTATAAGAACACTACATCCTATGCTCTTATACTGTGTTCTGGGTTCCCTATTTCAATCTAAATACTATTGTCTTTTTTTTCCTCTAAGTTACTGTTTTCAAACAAATACTAAGAAGTATCTAATAATTAATTCAGGATAACATGACTTACTACTCACCTAGCCTGCACAATAATTTTCTTACTAGTCTTTTTTTCTTCTCTGCAGACTATCTCACATGTAGTTTTCATATTACATGTGACATGATTCCTATTCAAAATATTTTGTTAAGAAAATAAATACAATAATGTATATTGTCATTGAGGAATCTCAGTCTGGAGCTTTGAAGTATTTTTCAACTCTGAATTACATAAGACATCCTGCCCACACTAAAATTCTGTTTTGGGGATATTTCCTATGATTTTATGCTATACTTTTTGCCTGGAATTTCTTTTCCCATCCTCTGCAAATCCAAATCCTATACATATCACAAGACACATTTAAAATATCAAATTCTATGTGGATTTTTTTTCCTCTTTTTTCCAAGGTAAAAATAATTTCCTCCTATGTTTCCTTTCATCTAGCATTTTATCTGTTCCATTTTAGCACTTGTTTTTCACCCTGTATTCAAGAAACTTTTATTTAATGCCTGTGAAGTGTTAAACAAACATTTTAATACTGGGAATGTGGAAGAAAAGACAAACACTCTGTTCTAAAAAAATCAGTTTAGAAAGGATGATAGCTAATTCACAACTATAGTAAACCTTAGATGTTCAATACTATGACAGAGGAATACACCTGTGTAAAGAGAAACAAGAAGAGAAATAGAAAAAAAATAATAAATGATTGAACATTAGATATGTTTGATGCATAGATACAAAAGGTGTGAAGGGTACATAGAGGGAAGAGACAAGAAATAAGCTATGGAGGTAGAAACCCTCTGACAGAAAGTTTGAAGATCATTCTGTAGAAAACTGAGAACTTTCAAAGAATCCTAAAGTCACTATTACTTTGACAGTCGTATGGATGATTGGTTGAAAAAATTAAATGCTGAGGATTGAGAAACCAAACTAAAGTATTTTGAAGTAATTTTGTACAAAAATGCTAAGTCATTAAACTTAAGTAGTGATAGAGTAGTTGGAACTTAGTTCACGAGGACTGCTTAATGACTGGATGCTTCAGGGAAGAAGAAGAGACTCAGATGACCTCCAGTTTTATGTCCTTGTTTGATGGATAGACAGTGATGCCTTCTATTTTAGTAGGTAAAAATAACTATATGGTTTATCATCCAAACCAACACAGATTTAAGAGCTAAATAATTTTTTTTAATAATAGAAATTGCTTTTGTTTAAAATTAAGTTCCATAGCAAGATGTTTTTATTTTATATGTAGTACTATAAAATAGCTCTATTCAACAATAGAATTATTTCTAAAAGTCTACCACTTATATTTTAGTTTGTATGATATATCAGATTGTTTGGACATAGCTATGAACTATGAGTACACCATGACCAATTCCAAGTATATTTCTGATTTATGATTTTTTTAATTTGTTAGGAACTACTCTAATTTTTTTTTCTTATGAATATGGCAATACAAAACTATACCCTTGTTTTTTTTGTTGTTGTTGTTAATGATGATGATGTTTCATTTTTACATCTGCATCTTCATTTGCAGGAAGAATTAAAACAAATTTTAAAGACTTGAAACAAATTTTTTTTGTTTTCTCTAAACCTGAATCATTCAAATAAAACCAACTTAACCACAGAAATGTAGCAAATTAAGGGGAAAGTAGCACAACAACCCAAGAGGCAATGTTGGGGGTGAAGCATAGGGTGTATGCAGACTAATATAACATAGGCACAAATGCCCTATGATTCCCCTCCTCAGGTCTCCAGAAGGCAAACACAAGGACCCATTTTAAAAGGTTGTTTTCCTCTTAAATATCTGAGAATGCTTCAACTTAAAGTTTAAGGGTTAAAAAGAGAAAAGGAAAACACACACACACACACTCTCACACACACACACATCCATTCTCAGCCAAAACCACCTTCTTTAATCATAGGAATTTCATTTTATAAAATGATTGATTAAAAATATTGAAAAATTATTTTCTCATC